ATATATATATATATATATATATATATATATATATATATATATATATATCCCATATATGGGATCCAGGCATAGTGGAGCATGTCTGTAATCCCAGCTACTTGCGAGGCAGAGGTAGAAGGATTGAAAGTTCTGGATCTTCTATGTACATAGAATCAATGTTTAAGAACTGCAAGGAAGTTGCTAAGTGTGTAGGGGGAAAAAGTAAAAAATAAATAAAATAAGAAATAGACGTACCCGTAAATTTTACTTATTTAATAAAAGAGAAGGAAAGACCTAAAGATTTTGTGGAAAACTGTTTACCTTCTATAGCTCTCTCTAGATGATGTGGATGTAGGTACGTATTACTTTCTATTTCTGTTTCATGACAGTAGCAATTACAGAATGAGAAAGGAGAGTGGTATAATGGATTTCTCCAAGTCATGCTCTTCCTTTAGGCCCTGGCAGATGAAATGGACCGAAGAAACTATGAAATCATTCTCTTAAATGTACTAGAAAAAAAAAAGAAAAAGAGACACACATCTGTTTACAAAATTACTTAGGAATGAGCCCATCTATCCTTCACTCAGAGTAGTGAAAATGCTTTCTAAAGCCCAAATTTGATCATAGCCCCATACACAGAACCCTCTAGGGCTTTCCACTACTGCCTTTATGACATAGTTAATGAACATAGCTCTGTGGCTCTCTCTCGCTCTTGGCCTTACTCCTTTAACCTCAATGTTGCAGTCCAAGGACCCCTTTCTCTGATTCCTGGGCCTGGAGCATACTGTACCACTCAGTCCATCTTGTATGGTGCTGTCTTCCTTTAGTCATTCTTGACCCAGCCTCTGGCTCCCTCTACTCATTCATCAGACCTGAGATTAGACCAGCCTCTAAGAAACAGTCCCTGCCTCACCAAATCTAAGTTGGGCATCCATCCTCTGTGCTTACCATGCCACAACTCTCAACACAATGGAAACTATCTACTCATCTCTGTCCTCAGAATGAGCTCCACATTAGCAGAGTCTTTATTTGGTCCTGCATGCTGCGCATATGGCATTACGTGTCAGATGCCTGCAGTAAATGTGTCCATGATTGGGAGAAAAAATGAGTGAGTGGATGAATAAATTAATCTAGAAATGGGACTAATCAGCTTTCCTTATCACTTCTACTCCAGCATGAAGACAATAGTAACCTGTTTATTTTCTGATGACCGTAAAAGTATTAGTGAAAGTCTTTTAACCAGTTTATGGATTTCTTAAAATGGTCACTTTTTAACTTATTAAGTAAATTCAGTAGGCCAGCCTAAAATATTCACAGAAGGGAAAGGATTGTTCAAAACTGGTAGAGACTGAAAGAGAGAATAAAATTATACAAATGAATTATATCACACTCCCAATAATTGTTTTATTGATTCCTTCAATAAATAATAATAATAAGGTATCAGGACCAACCTCAGAGTTAATGAAAGTTCAAAAGAGGTAATGTGAGTCATTAGCCCACCAAGGTAAAATGGCAATGACAGCAAGCCTCTCATATCTCATTAGAATGTGGACTAAAAGGAAGAGAGGACTTCCAAAGAACTAGGGGAAATTCTAGGCCCTGGAGAGACAAAGATGAAGAAGGCACAGTTCTTGTCTTAAATATGTTTAATGGTTTAGAGGAGGAGGTTTAGGCACACAGTTTCCTCTCTACCACATAGTCACAGTGAAAAACTTAAAGTATTATCTTACGTGCTTGTTGAATTATGAGATTACTCAAAGACAGATACTTAAAAGCCCTGTGTCATGATCTAAGGTTTCATAGGCCAAGCTCCCCAACCCCCCACCCCCAACTAAATTTCTTGGCACTCACTCCAGAGCTCTTTTCATTGGACCTTCATGCTTATAACATCAATAAAATGGTAAATGAGAACTATCGTGAATAAATACCACTGACTGCTATGGGAATAGTAGGAAACTCAAGGGGAGGCCAGAAGAAAAATCTAGAAAAGCCAGAGAACTACAGCAAGGATGACAATCAGAGCAGCAAAGGTTTAATAAGGCCCAAACAACGTACTGTGTGATCATTTTTTAAAGGTAGACAATGAACTGTACCAGGGAGAAGACGATAAAAGAAGAATGATCATTTTTGTAATGTGCCTAGCACTCTGAACTTTCAAAACCTCTCATGCAGGCACTGGTGGCTCACACCTATAATCCTAGCTACTCAGGAGGTTGAAATGCGAGGATCATGGTTCAATTCAGCCCAGACAAGGAAGTCTGTGAGGCTCTTATCTCCCATTAACAGTAGAGTTGTGGCTCAAGTGGTAGAGTGCTAGCCTTGGTGGGAAAAAAGTGTTCAGGCCCTGTGCTCAAGGCCCAGGATCAGCACTAAAAAAACTTTTTTAATGCAATATGTGACTAGAGCATTCGGGCACACAACTATCCCTAGGAAAAGCGATAGTTTCTTTGCAAAAATGATCAAATTGCTTCCTTTTGGAAACTGGGAGAAAAAGACATATTGGTATCAACTATTCTTTTTCCAAATTCTAGCTAGCTTCGTAAAGATTCCTAAAGATCATACCCTGAAGATTACATAGGTGTTTTCATACATTCTATGTACCCATTAGAGGCAGTCACCACCTGTAAAGTGATCGCGTTAAAATGCAAGTTGTAATTTTGCAGGTTCTATCTCCTTAAACTGCAGTAAGACCTACCTAAACAGAAGCTTTATCACCCGTCCACTGAAATTGAGATACTTTTTCATAAAGGAAAAGGAACTTTGTAAATGTGATTTAGTAGAAGGAGTCTGCCCGTGACATCTTAAAGATAAATTGCAAGAACTTTTTTTTAATAAAACTGAAATACCCGTGTAGGTACGTATTTGTCTGTGCTTGTTTGCAGGAGGATGCAAACCAAGCCATGGACATTTCTTACTACTGTGATGTAGAATGAATTTGAGTTAGGAGTAAGAGTAATTTTTTTCCTCAAATATCTTTATAAGTTCACAGTTGTTACAAGGATCATACTGAACTGGGGCTTGAACTCAAGAGCCTGGGCATTGTCCTTAGCTTTTCTGCTCAAGACTAGTGCTCTACCACTTCAGCCATGGCTCCACTTCCAGCTTTTTGCTGACTAATTGGAGATACCTGCCTGGGCTGGCTTGGAATCATGCATGATCTTCTGATCTCAGTCTCCTGAATAGCTTAAATTACAGTTACAATCCACCACTGTTAGACTTCATATTTTTTCTTTTAAGCAAGAAAATAAAAAACTGAATGGAAAAAATTTTTTAAAGAAAACTAAATTTTAGTTAAAGATCTTTCAAATGGACTTTTAAAAATCAATTCAACATGCATCCCCTATTTAAAGTATATTCCATAAGCAAAGAAATAGGCTCAGGCCAGGTACTTAACAGGTATTCCACACAAATGACCCTTAAAATAGCATGGATCTGAAATTTTTTTAGGAAAATAATTCATCTATTATTAGTATCACAAATTTGCACATCAATTGACTCAACCATTTACCAAAACTACATCTGGGAAGCAGCAGCTGCCAGAATTCAGGCTAGCATGTTGAGAGCAATTATTAATTGTACCAGAGCAGCAGATAATTAACTCCAGTTTTAAAACTGTTTGGGTGTAATGAACTAGATTTCTATTGTGAAACTGACAGTTGAAAGGAATCCAAATGTAAAGCAAGTGTGTAAGGGTTGTGTTTCTTGTGTTTGAGGGTCTCTGTGGATCCCCAGGGAACAGCAAAGCTTTGGAATAACAGTCCTGGTTTTCCTTCCTGGCTCAGCTATTGCTTGACCATGACACAGCTCTTAGTCTCTGTGAGCTTCTGTTAGTTTCTAATGTGCAAAATGAGGACAAGTGCTACAATCTTGTAGGTTAAAGAGAAAAAAAAGAGTATGATTACATATTCATACTAGCCATGTCTGACAAGCAATGGGCAAACCAATAGGAAGCTATTATTACTAAATTCTGACAGCCCTTCCTGCTCAAAACTACCTCTCTGCTCACTCTTCTACAAAAATACATTTTGTAGCCATATCCCACCACCTCTTCATTCCTCATATGAGGAGCTTTGGCTAGGTGGTAAAATTTGGATCCTGGAGATTTTGTAAAATGTGCATCATGATTCCACAAATCCTAACAAAGGCTGTGATCTTGCATTTCCAGCCAACTGCCTTGCACACAGTACTGCTGCTACTGGCTACATTCTGAGTGGCAAGGTTCTCGGCTAAAAGGGTGATCAACTTTTAAATACTAATGATGAGCAGAGCACTGAGGTCTGTCGCCTAGAATCCTAGCCACTCAGGAGGGGGAGAGATATGAAAATCAAAGTTCAAAGCCAGCCCTGGCAGGGAAATCTGTGAAATTCTCATCTCTCCAATTAATCACCAAAAACCCAGAAGTAGACCTGTGGCTCAACTGAGGGACAGCACCTAGATCCTGAGTTTAAGCCCCAGTACTTGTTCATAAATAAGTTAGTAAGTAAGTAAATAAATAAATAAATAAGTTAGGGGAATCAGGAAAGACTTGAGGCAGGGATAATGACTTCATCCATGTGCCTGCACACCTGAGTATATCCCATCACAACACCCAGTACAGAGTAGCCAGGTCTCCTTCAATGGGCTGTGAGCTCCTCCAGTGTCCAGAGCCCAACTGTGTAACTCCAAGGGGCTACTGTACTCAATGCAGTCACTCAATTTAGGGTGCAAAGCAATAAATAAATGGAGGCATGGATCCTAGAAAAATTCAGGGAATTCACTGTTCAGTGTATAAAAGTTAAATGAGCTTAAGTGTTTTCTTTCCCTCCCTCCCTTCCTTCTTCCCTCCTTCCCTCTCCCTCCTCTCTCTGTCTCTGTCTCTGTCTCTCTGTCTGTCTCTGTCTCTGTCTCCCCCCCCCCCACTTGGGAGGTTGAACTCAGAGCCTTCCTAGGCAGGGGCATTAACATTTGAGCCATGCCCCTCAAAGACTTTTTGCTTTATTTTTCAAACAGTGTCTTGCTGGTTTTTGTCCAGTGTAGCCTAGACCATGATCTTCTTACTTATGCTTCCTACATACTTGGAATGACAGATAGGCATATATGCTACCATGCTTAGCTTTTATTGGTGAGGATGGGGATCTTGTGAACTTTTGGCCCAGGCTAGTCTTGAACTGTGATCTCTTCCTCCTGGGTAGCATGAACCACCAGCGTCCACAGCTCAAACTTCAGATTCCTTAGTTATGACACAAGTGTCACGTATCCCTGAAGCTGATGAATGAGTTGACTTGTTGCCAGTACTAGCCAGTTTGTTTTTCACTGTTTCTGTTTTGTCTCATACCCTTATGCCTCACTCCCCAAATAATTAACCGACTAAGTCAGCTTTGCCTTAAAAGAATAAGAGGAAATATTTTTTAAGTCATCTGGCCCCTTTATCAGTAAGGAACCAGGAACATCGAGGATCTGGGATGCCCAGGAATCTGAGGAAAACATCAAAACAATGTCACAAGACTGGATCACAGCAAGAGCTAGTGAC